TCGTCCAACGTCCTACTATAAACCAAGATATCATCAAGGTAGATGAGGACGCTGCGATCGAGCAAGTCGCGAAACTCAGTCGTCATCGCTGCTTGAAACGTTGCGGGGGCATTGGTGAGTCCAAATGGCATGACGACCCACTCAAAATGCCCGTACCGCGTCTTGAACACGGTCTTGTACCAGTCTTGAGACTGGATTTCAATCTGGTGGTAACCTGACTTCARATCCAACTTCGAGAAGTACGTCGCGCCGCCTAACCGCTCAAGGAGATCATCAATCTGAGGGAGAGGGCCGACGTTCTTTACGGTTTGTGCATTAAGTTTCCGATAGTCGATGCATAACCGTAGATCTTTGTTCTTCTTCCGGACGAAGAGAACAGGTGCACCGTATGGCGAGCAACTCGGGCGAATCCAGCCCTTGTCGAGAAGATCATCGAGTTGTGCGTGAAGCACCTCGAGTTCCTCTTCGCTCATGCGATATATACATCCACACGGAGGGACGGCGCCAGCCTCGAGAGTGATCCCGTGACGTATGGGCCGATCCGGAACCGTTCCGGTGGGAGCCTCGAAGACGTCTCTATACTCGTCCAAGAGGTGAGAAATGCGTGGGTCCGGCGGTGACGCAGCTGGTCCGTCCGGCGAGGGGAGAGCATGCAAGAATACAAGGCCCATCTCCTCGACGTCATTCCGAGCAATGGCGTCGCGAATCCGCGCAACGGAAACCACGTGACAAGCAATCGAAGTGTGAAGGGTTGCGACCGTACATGAGACTAACACTCCGTTCCGATCATGGATGTGAACGGTTCGGTCATGGATGTTCACCGGATGATCGGCGCTACGCAACCAAGACATGCCTAGAATCATGTCGAACTTGGTGTCGAGGATGTCAAAAGACACCGGCTCGCACGCAAGTGGCGCAAAGTAGACCGAAACGCCGTCAACGCATCGGTCAATTGACTTTTGCGTGCGGTCCGTTGAAAACACCTATGTCACCGATGATGGTGACGATGTGATCGATGCGTTCATTGATTTGCTTCGTCGCGTCCGTCATGCAGCCTGGCGCTGCTGAGGCCTTGGCCTCAATGCCGTTGATGCGTGCGATGGTAGAGTTCATCAGCTGTTGCTGTTGCTGCTGCTGCACTGCTGCGTCGCGGACGTCGGCCGTTACAGCGGCCAGGTCTTGCTGGTACTGCTGTCTTTGCTGACGATCCGCGTGCAGGTGTGCCTGCAGTAGTTTATTGTTCCACATTACTCCCCTCATTATGTTCAACATCACGGTAGCCAGGTTACTTCTCTCTGCCTCCGCCTGTGTCGGCTCTGCCTGCGTTTCCGTAGGCACAAAGATCATGCCTTGGAGTACCATTGTCCACTGATGCTCACTAGCAATCAGGGACTCCGTGCTGGCGGCATTCCGTCTGTTTCGTGCCGCTTCGTCAGTCTCAGCTGTCCGCTGAGCTTCGGCTGTCGCTTCGTTGGCCAGCCGCTAACGTTTTGCTTCTGCCGCAGCCTGCTGAGCCTCTGCGGCGGGTACGGCGTCTGTAAATGCCTGTAGCCGCCCACGATAGTCAGCCCAAGACTCGCTGGCCTCTCGGACCGGGCATGCGGGAAAATCTCCGGTGGTGTCTTGTACTATCAATGTCGTACTTGATGCCGCTGGAGTCGTCCGTCTGCTGAATCTCTTGGGTCTTGGAGGTACCGCAGGGCGGGCACGAACTGCGATCCTGGCACTGCGCCGTGGCAGTGCCCCGGTGTCCTGTTCCGTCGGCATCAGTCTGAACTGATGCGGTACTTGAGAGGTGCGGGTGTTCACAGACTACATGGGGGATAGGTAGAGTGGGAACAGGGGTAGAACAATCAAGCAATATACATACAATCCCCTGTCCCACTGATGGACTGTAGACACCTAATCAAACAGGAAAAAAATAAATTTCCCGTAAACCCTTCAAAAAAAATTCGTAATAAGGAATTAATAACGATTTAATCAATAAAATTAATTAATGATAATTAACGAAATAAATCCGAATGATAATCAGTAAAACAATGTTTGTAATAAAGATAACCAATTAATAAACGAATTTGAAAGGTATTATGATTGGGTCTCTTTGTGATCACTTTGAGTCCGGGAGTTCACCGTTATTGAGTGAACTACCCGGAAGTTGCAGTTTGAGGGTCAGATACGGCTTAGTGTGCTAAAAAAATTTTGGAAAATTTCAGAAAAAAAAATGCTCGAATTTTCAAAAATGCGAATTTTCGGGAATTTTCACCGTCAAAATCCGATTTTTAAAAGCCTAAACCTATTTTCRGAATTTCTCAAACAAGGAGAACGAAAAAAAAAAATTCGCGAAAATTTCGGTCCCAACCCTAATTTTCTGCGTTTTGGTGAAATTTCCGGATTTACGGTCCCAAAACGTTCGAATTTCCCCAAGTTGATCTAAAACCCAAAGATTCTCGTAACCCTAATTTCCAATACTAAAGACAACGGAAATCCAAAAGACAACGAAATATAGGATTTACAACAAAAATGCTGAAAACGGGATGCTGAATGGAAATCAGAAACACCGAATTTCAACATGATACTGATTCAACCCTAATTCGTGTAACATCAGAAATCCGAAACTTAATCGATTATCGGATTAGTATTACTCAATCGGAACTCAAATAGCAGCATACCGGAAGAAAACATATATCCGAATTATAAGTCCGAATACCGAATTGAACGGAAATGCCGAACTAAATAGAGTACCGAAAAGAAAAAATTTTGCAACTTTGAACTTGATAATAATTCAGCGCCGATTTAGAAGGTCAAACAAATAATCTACTTCTAAACGGACTTACCTGGTGAGCAGATCCGTTATTGGTCTGTTCCGATACCAAAACTGTTGCATACTTCGACAAGTATGGGCAGAACCAAAGATCAACCAATATAGGATGAGCGTGTATGCAGCGGAAGTCTGATAAACGAACTGACTCACATAGACTGACTCATATAGAAAGACTCACATAGCAGCACTCCACACACATACAATCGTGAGATGGTGGGGTCTGAGCCATACAAAAAAGGTGCTCAGCCCCGTACACAACATACACCGATGAATGGGGGAGGAGAGACGAAGGAGGTGGGGCAGGTAGACAACACTGAAAGTCACCGAGATAGAATCTGATAGGTCACCGATATGGTAGTCCAAAATGTCATCCAACAAGATCAAAGTGTCGAGGACAATAGGTCACCAATGTCGCAGGTACAGAGTCCAAATGTAACCGGTGTCTGAACTGTGATGCAGCCGAGTATTAACCCCAACAATCTCCAAGTCTCCAATCAGGTAAGTACCATAGTCTCATATCACCGAAGTCCAACTCTGATCTCTGTCCAACAAGTATAAGTCTCCAATCTGAAGAAGAAGAGGAAGAAGAAGAAGAAGAAGAAGAAGAAGAAGAAGAAGAAGAAGAAGAAGAAGAAGAAG